TTAAACGCAAGTTTGGTATTTTATAGGAAAAAAACTTTATACAATACCAAATTTCAGTGTGCTTATAAAACGGGGCAAATATCTTCATTAATAACGTATACTATACTAATGAGAATAGATTAACAAACTGTATTAAAATTTAATATAAACTGCTCGTCATAAAAATCGACGCACCTAGTTTTTTGGAAAATATTTGATAGCTCGTTATTGAAAAATTACTGAATCGATTTTGAAAATCTTTGGAAATTCTGAATAGCTGATTCTTTGACTCTTATGTCAAATTTTGGGAATACGATATTTTGCACATAGCACTATACTACAGGCAGGGCCGGCGTTAGCTTATTAGAGGCCAGGTGCAAAAGAAAAATGCGGGGCTTGAACTAAAAATTTACTCTTGAAAATTAACATAGCGCTTAGCGGCAATGAACCAATAAAACATCAAACGAAAGAGCTGAAAGTGCATTTTTAAGTCAAAATTTTTTAAGCGTGTTACCGGATAGTAGAAAATTATGACTTAAAAATGCACTTGGGTGGTTCAGCTTTTTCCTTCAATTAATATAGAAATTAACGTTTAATAAAAAATCACACATAATTTTATCCTGCTTTAGCGGAAGCTCTTTTCCAACATCCTTCTCTATTGACAATATAGCCAAAGCCACTAGTCGTTCTTTGCACATACTTTCTTGATCTTAAATATTTTTTCATTAATTTTAATTTTAAAAAACTCTTTTCCTGGCGTAATAATAATTGTTTTAAACGGATACAGGCAACTTCAAATACACATTTAGCAACATTGAACTGAATGATAATAGATGACGATACCTACTAAGGATATTATCTCTGGCAATGACCAGATATTATTTTGTCAGCTTGCCATGTTGCTAAAATGTACAATAATTTCGTTAAGACGCCTTGATGCGCGCGGGGCCTATAAAACGCGGGGCCGGGTGCAACCGCACCATTTGCACATGCCTCACGCCGGCACTGACTACAGGGTGTTAAACGAAGAGATGTATTTTTTCCGAAATTTCCGTTATTCCCATTCATGAGGCAGTTGAGTTTGATAGTCGTAATACCCCTCCCTAATATAAGTAAGGTAATCCCTCGGAACGTTTTCGAGATTTTGTGAATATCGCGGCTTACTACGATTATATGCCAATTTATCGAAAATTGTCGATATTTCCCAGTTTAGTCCAAAAAATGGGCAATAGCGGATTCTTTGACTTACGTCTAATTTTGAGAATAAGATATTGTGCACATAGAATTATACTACAGGGTGTTAAAAAAACGGAAGTTTTTTTTTTCCAAAATTTTAAATCCCATTCATAGGGCAGTTAAGCTTGATAGTCGTAATACCCCTTCCTACTAACAGTTAGGTAATCCCTCGGGACGTTTTCAAGCTTTTGTGGATATCTTGGCTAACTACGATTATATAGCAATTTTTCGAAAATTGTCGTTATTCTCCACTTAATTGCCAAAAATGAGCAAACTACGAAATTTACCTTAAGGTATCGATTAATTATCAACACTTCGTTTTCCCAATTTGCATGTTCATGTGCCCATCTTCTTCTAGCAGAAAAAGAGGGCAGGCAGCTCTTCGTCTTGCGTGGTATGCAATCTTAAGATGTAATTACATCCGTCATTTTATTTTTTAAATGTGATTTGCTGTTTGAAAAATGTTTTCATATTCGACGACAAAAATGACAAAAATAATTGAATGAAGGAAGCTCCAAACCAGATATGCGCCATATTTTTTAAACTTTCATAGTCAACCGTTTGTAGAAAATTGCATGAATATGGCCTACATAAGTTTACGAGAATAATTTTGTTTGGTTTGCGTTTTTATTTTGAATTTAACGGAAAAAAATGGGTTTGTGTGAAACATTTCACTTTTAATGAATCACGCAACGTACAGAAACTGGAAGCAAATGACCTACCTTAAAACGCTGTGTTGATACCATAGATTCTCTATGGTTGATACCTTCCGTAGTTTTCAAACAGCAAATCACATTTAAAAAATTAAAATGACGGATGTAAGAAATTGGGGGAAACGATGTGTTGATAACTATAGTTGTAATTATAATCGATACCTTTCGTAGTTTGCTCATTTTTAAGACTTAAGTGAAGAATAACGTGAATTTTCGAAAAACTGCCTTATAATCGTAGTTATCCAAGATATCCACAAAATCTCGAAAATGTCCCGAGGGATTACCTGTTATTGGGAAGGGGTATTATGACTATCAGGCTCAACTGCCCTGTGAATGGTGATTTGGAATTTTGGAAAAAACATCTCTTTTTTTAACACCCTGTTGTATAATGCTATGTGCACAATATCGTATTTCCAAAATTAGACGTAAGTCAAAAAATCCACTATTGCTCATTTTTGGACAACTGGGGAATAACGACAATTTTAGAAAAATTGGTATATAATCGCAGTTAGCCAAGATATCCACAAAATCTTAAAAATGTACCGAGGGATTACCTAACTATTAGGAAGGGGTATTAGGAATATTAAGCTCAACTGCCCTGTGAATGGGGATTTGGAAAAAAACATCTCTTTTTTTAACACCCTGTAGTATCATGCTATGTGCACAATATTGTATTCCCAAAATTAGACATAAGAGTAAAAAAATCAACTATTGCTGATTTTTTGGACTAAAATGAAGAATAATGTGAATTTTCGAAAAATTGCCGTACAATCGTGGTTAGCCAAGATATCCATTAAATCTCGAAAATGTCCCGAGGGATTACCTAACTAGTATTAGGGAGGAGTATTAGGACTATCAAGCTCAACTGCCCTGTGAATGGGTATTTGGAATTTTGGAAAAAAACATCTCTTTTTTTAACACCCTGTAGTATAATGCTATGTGCACAATATTTTATTCTTAAAATTAGACGTAAGTCAAAGAATCCACTATTGCTCATTTTTTGGACTAAACTGGGAAATAACGACAATTTTCGATAAATTGGCATATAATCGTAGTAAGCCGCGGTATTCACAAAATCTCGAAAACGTTTCGAGGGATTACCTTACTAATATTAGGAAGGGGTATTACGACTATCAAACTCAACTGCCTCATGAATGGCAATAACTTGAAATTTCGGAAAAAATAAATCTCTTCGTTTAACACCCTGTAGTATAATGCTGTGTGCAAAATATCGTATTCACAAAATTTGACATAAGAGTCAAAGAATCAGCTATCAAGAATTTCCAAAGATTTTCAAAATCGATTTAGTAATTTTCCAATAACAATTGACGCACCTAGTTTTTTGGAAAATATTTGAAATCTTAAGATTTCAAATATTTTCCAAAAAACTAGGTGCGTCAATTTTTATGACGAGCAGTTTATATTAAATATATTTAATCTAATAACCATAGTTAAATATATTAAAATAAATAAAATTATTTAATTTGTTTATTTTAAAACTTTTATATAAATGTCTTAATATGTCTTAAATGTCTTTTATATAATGTCTTAATTTAGGACAAAAAAATTTCCTTTGCTTTTGTTTTATTTATTTACTCTAACATTATTTTTTTCGTCATTTTTTGCATAATATAAACCCCGCATTGTTCGTTTAAAATAAAATAAAAATATTATAATTTTATCATATTCTTTATACCTATAAAGAATATGATAAAATTATAATATTTTTATTTTATTTTAAACGAACAATACGGGGTTTATATTATGCAAAAAATGACGAAAAAAATAATGTTAGAGTAAATAAATAAAACAAAACCAAAGGAAATTTTTTTGTCCTAAATTAAGACAAAAATAAGAATTCTTCAGGCCATTTTCGAACCATATAGCCCCACAAATTCTCTATTACAGAGAAATAATAAAACCAATGTAATTACCTTTAAGATGACTAAATTTATAGATATCAAAACAATATAAGAAAGATACACGCGTTTTTCTTTCCAGCGCTGTGATTTGTAAGGGATATTTTTAAGGGCGTGGTCTAAAAAATGCCGAGAGAGAACCGCATTTCAAGGTGGGCCTTTAAGGTTTGGACGATAGTACCTAAGTAAATTTTTGTGCTTAGCGGCTTTTTTTTTAGTTTTTGCTGGAGTTACATGACCTTCTTCTTCTACTTCTTCATTGATGTCAGTCGTTCCGACCCCGGTGACACTATGTCAAAACGAGCTACTTGTCAAGGCTTTAGCAGCATAGATAATAGCCTATGTTTAGCAGTAAAAGGTGCACTTAAATCGTTTTACCAAAGATATATTTTAAAATATTTTGACAGGTTTTAAAGACGATAAGAAATGGTGCCAGGGAATGTAAAATGTACTTATATAATTTTACCACCAAGTTAGAATATTCTTTAGGTGTGATATTCTGCACTTAGACCATTTAATTAAAAAAGTGCACTTGAACCGTTTTACTTCCAAGCCCCTCAATTATGATATATATATAGTGCAATTTTTTTAATTATTTTTATGTGTTATTATGCTACAATAAATTCTAAACAAAAATTAATAATAAAAAGATACTATAATAAATTAAATGATATTTTACTTTATATTATTTTTCGCTTATAATTAATAATAAAAAGATACTATAATTAATTAAATGATATTTTACTTTATATTACTTTTCGCTTGGAATGGCCATGGAGCCAAAACTTAATAGGGGAAATTTGACAAAACCTACCCTCTTAATCGCACAAATTATGTCTTATTGATGCGTATTGATGTCTACTGTTTTGGTAGGGTTTCGGTACAAATCAAACGACTGTTTATTAATAAACGAAAACCAGCGTTCTCTCACAATCCATGTGTGGATTGTGCGTCCTCTTATCTTAGGTAGATTTTTGTATGAAGTTCGGACTCCTTGTGTAGGCTCCATGACTGAACCCCACAGGGGAGCTAATAGGTTGTATACTGGGTTGCATATGTCAATAGTTGTTCCCTACTCAAAATAGTTGAATTTTGGTTTTAAATAATCCATATTTTTAAAGTTATTATTGTGAATAAATAAAAACTAAAAACGTGAAAATAATATGCTTTATTTAAGTAAATAAAATAACTTTTGTGTATACATAACTTTCTTATAAACTGCAGTTTAGATGTATTGTATTATTAAGATTATGCTTTAATTCACTAAATTTTTTAAAGCCTGTTCGATCAAAAAGTATTCTTCTATTTGTGGTGGAATTTTACTTCTGTAATTTACTAGAGAATTTCTGTCTTTTTGATTTATAAAATGCTGGATTACAAATTTGTGACAGTTTAATTTTTTACCTAAATGTAAACTTGTCTCACTGTCTGATATAAAATTTAAATACTGTTCCAGAATATCTTTGGATGGATTATGTTTACCAATGCAGTAAACAAATAATTCTGGGTTTATAATACTCTTAAATGTATGTTTTTTTGTAAGCCAGTTCTAAAAAATACACTTGGTTATTGTGAATTATAATATATAAATTTAATTTTACAGGTTTAATAAATAAATTATTAATTTGGGGCCACAATTCCATTGATGCTAAGACATTTAAAATGGTCCATTCAAAAATAAAATCATCAATTCTTAAAAGTTTCTTAAAAGCCATAACTTTTTCATTATTGTTCTTATTTTTGGTCCATTCTATTTTACACAAAACAGCTAATTGTTCAATAACAGACTCACTTTGTTGTTTGTTTTCTATTTGCCACCCTAAAATATTTATAAAATGGAAAGTTGCATTATGCAACTTGCATACAAATAAAGTGACTAGGTACTTACGTAAAAAATCCATTTGGTCATAAAGTTCAGATTTTTCATCATTGCCGACTTTTTGTAAATGCTCCATCATAAACTGCTCGAGTTTTTTAAAGACAGTTTCCTTATTAGTTATATTTTTACCAATTAAATAATAAATTTCAATCTAAAATATTACATATGAATAATTAAACTGTTGAGTAAAAAATGGGTTATGTAATAGGGTGGGGTGAAAAACATTATGGTAACCATTTAATATGCCTATACCTATAAGCTGAGCAAAATACATGATGATAAAAATTTAATACGCATATATTTGGAAAAGTGGTGAACTATTATCACAATTAACAAAAAAAAATATTTTGATCGGACAATGTTTGGAGGGTCATCCACTTCTTTAAAGTGCAGATTTTATCTTCTGAATTTTAATAATATTTTTTTTTCGATAGTGGTGGTAATAGGACACCACCTCGGACACCACTTTCTCCAATATAGGCATATTAATATGATACCATACCATTCATGATGGTAACCATTTAATGGTTACCATCATGAATTAAATTCATTCATTGAACTTCACTCCACCCTATTACGTAATGGTAAAACCTTAAGTAAAAATAATAACATACCATGTTGTATGAGTTGCCAGTTGCCCTACAATAACAATTCTTTGATTGTTACAATGCAAAAAATAACATATACATACATATACATATCTGCTAATTCTTGGAACCCACTAGTACTAATAAGATAGTTGGCATAATGTCTTACAGCAAGTTTTCTTTTGGCAACTTGATGGTAAAATATATTTTGCCTTAATGTAGCTTTTAAAAACAATACAATCTGTAAGTAATAAAATAAATTATTATATAAATTCATTTAAGTATATCATAATATGGAGTTTCACCTTAATTATAACATTTCCATCTAAAGTTTCTATTGCTAAATCCAAGAGCAGCATTTTTTCATCAAACTGTTGGTATTGGGGTAGATAATATTTTTGACTATAAGACATTTTTTTTATTGTTTCTTCCACAGGTGCCACAACCCTTTGATTTGTAGATTTAACATCATCAAGTACTAAAAAATCATAAATAAATTTTTACTAATAATTTAAATACTTAAATCAAACCTAAATCCAACCCAACTTTAGATATAATAGAATGAATGGGCAAGGTAAGATTTTCCTCAGTTGAAGAACTAAATATGGACTCTTGAACATGAGAATTGTCCTGGGAAATAAAATATTAATATTTTATTACAAATTAAAGAAAAAATTAAAACCTCTTCATCATCAAAATTAAATCCCGATGAACTACTTATGTTCCAGAAATCATCTTCTTTAGCTACGTCCATTATAAAATACAAGAGAAAAACCAATCTTTAATAAAATAGGTTAAAAATTGACATTAAACCAAAACAATTTATATGGTAATGTAGGAATCATCTTTACAAGTGTTATAAACAGAAAATAATAATAAAGCTATAGCTTTTCTGTTTTACCTACGAAGTCTTTTTGGTTTTACCCACAGAACATAAGTAGACAAATTTCCAAGATTTTGTCCAAAACTTGCCATTTCCTGAAAGTTGCAAAAAATTCCCACAACTAAGGAAAAAATCCCTAGGTTGGCAACACTGAACCTCGAAGGGAAGCTGTCATATAGGTTGTATAGTTGGTTGCATATGTTAATTTTGGGTTTATATCCTAGACCAAACCAATAGATAAATCACAAAACTAGTTTTGTGAGATAAATATCTTATGTCGGATGTCGGGACAGTATTATAGTATTTAGCCAAGCCAAGAGAGGGCGCGGATTTTATAATTTAATAACGTTTTGACGTTTTTGACCTTTTTGACCATGGAGCCTACACAAGGAGCCCGAACTTAATAGGGAAAATTGACAAAACCTGCCCTCTAAATAATTTAAAGTGACCATCCGTCCCGATTTAGGCGGGACAGTCCCGATTCTGAGCTAAGGGTCCCGATTTAATAAGCGTCCCGCTTTTGTCCCGCTTTCAATAAATTCAGACTATTAACTTTTACTCTAATTGTTTAGAATATTTAAGCCAGTACAGTAGTAAAAAAGCTCCGACATGGGAACAAGTACAAACAAGTTTTGAGTTTCTCTTAAAAAAATTCCCCAAATGCACCATAGTTTAAAATGATTTATTTGATGAGACTCAATATGTTCATAATTATGTTTCTGAGAGTAAACTTATTTTTTGGACTGAGCAAAAAACTCCCACAGATCAAAAAAGGGTAGAAATGTTTAGTCATTTCGATGACAATACAATTCATTAATATTAGAACCAATAAAATGCCAGTATTCCATAGTGACGTATTTTATCACAGCGGCAATAATTTTTATCATCTTGTTTACACGTTACTAAGAATTTTGACACTTTCTTTGATTTAACATCTGTTGTGATTTAAATTCTGTATTTGATATATCGATGTGGCTCCCGTCCCGAGGCGGGACTTAAGTTCAGTCCCGATTGACGTCACACACTGTAAATCGGTTTTTATTCCCCGAGATTTTATAATTTGTGTCAAGCTCGATGGCTTAGATGGTAGGGCGGTCGCTTGGCATGCGAGAGGTACCGGGTTCGATCCCACTAGAAGTTGTCAAACTTTTTTTATTTTTTTTATTTTATAAATTTGTTGTTTCTTTGGTAAAAAGTGTTTTATTTTTATCGTAACATAAATTTGCCCATTTTAGTTGGGTTTTTTGCTCAATGGGGCGGGGGGGGGCCCAATGGGGCGGGGTCGGTTGGGTTGTGTTGTTGAGTTTGGGTTGGTTTGGTTTTATGACGTAACTAAAGTGCCCTTAACATGTATACAGGTACAAATTAATAATATTATTTTATTATAACATAACAAATCTTAAAATTATGACGTCAATCGGGACTGAACTTAAGTCCCGCCTCGGGACGGGAGCCACAGCGTTGATATATATCAATAAAATAATGAATTATAAACTCTAAAAGATCGATGGGTTGGTGTAAACGATAATGAAATTAATGTAAGTTTGAATAAATAAGGTTTATTAAAGTTTTTTTATATTTTAAAGCACATTTTAATTTTAAATGTCAATCTGACAAATTTTTTAATTCCTTAAATTCATTATATTTTCTCACTAAATATAACTCGTGGTATGATTAATAATCGAAGATATTTACTCATTGAAACCGAGCTGCAGATTTCACGAGTCCGCAGGACGCTATCATCGATGATAATCATACCACTTGTTATATTATGGGTGAAAATAACATTCCTTTCAATAATATTTTAAAATTAGTACAATATATATTATGCTTACCCGGTACAAACGCTTCTACCGAACGGGTTTTTTCTATGATTAATAAAATTTGGACCACCGAAAAAACTAATTTGTCTGTAGAAACTTTAAAAGCTTTAGTGACTATTAAATATAATTTTAAAGGAGACTGTATGGGTTAAAAATAAGCCCCTATTAAAAAAATTCATCAAAATGAAAAATATAAATAAAAATGTTATAGGTATTAAAAATTTAAAATCAGAATACTGATTGTCGTTTTTACTTGTAGTTTAAACTTTGTTTTTTTTTGTATTTCATTACATATTTTGTATAACTAGGTACTTAGTATTTTTTATTTATCACTACCCTAATTCTAAATTGAAAATGAAAACAAGATTTTTGACCATTTTGTAACTTTGTCCCGCTTTTGGACTTTTAGGATCTGGTCACTTTATCTAAATTGCACAAATTAAGTCTTTTTTTTTCGTCCTGACGTCTGCTCTTTTGGTAGCGTTTCGGTACAAATTAGTCAATTCAATTGACTCAATTGTTTCAGAATAAACGGTACACCAGCGCCTACTTTCCTTAGGAAGATTCTTGTTTACATGCAGTTCGGACTCCTTGTGTAGGCTCCATGTTTTTGACGTTCAATTATATCCGTAGTTATTGCATTTTTGTAAGATTTTGTGTATTTTTGTGTTTTTAATGTGTATTGTTTCTAAGGTTTGTATTATAATAATAATTTATAAACGACACTTTGACCAAATCATAATCTTTCAGATGGTAGGCTGCCTACCATCTGAAAGATTATGGTTCGGTCAAAGTGTCGTTTATAAACAAAGTGACTAGAAGTACACCGGGAGTACCGCCATTAAACGTACACCGGGTGGAAAAAAAAACCTTATTTAGCATATTTGTAATATTTATAATATTTATAATATTAAATGGTCGCTCAATTTCGCGCTCAATGGGGCGGGGTCGGTTGGGTTGGGTTGTTGAGATTCGGTTGGTTTGGGTAATTCATACTGACATTTCATTAATTTTGTTGTTAATTGTATTTCAATCACTTAATTAAATTTTAATCAATGTATATACAACTTGAAAGTTAGCTTAATAATTACTATCGCTAACAAAAAAAACTCATACAGCTATATTGTGGCTGTGTGAATAAAACTTTTCCGTCAATGTCAAGCTGACATCGAGCTTTGTCACATCCATTATGACTTTTTTAACAACATTTTCAACCAAACAATGCAGACGAACTCTGGCAAGCCATTGAAGCCATTTGGAACTAGATTAAGACGGCGACTTCCATGCTTTGCCGTTTGCTGCTGCGGGATGACGAAATATTATTTTTTTTTTCAAACTTCAACCTAACTTTGTATTTAATTTTAGACCTTTCAAATGTGACGTATCATAAGCCATAATTACTCCAACGAAATGATAGAAAATCAGGAACACTAGATTTTTAAGCTGTATGAGTTTTTTTTGTTAGCGATAGTACATAATTATTATCAAGAGTTTGCTGTTTACCAACTGTTATACAACTGGGCCTTAGTGTACCAATTTAATCTCAACTAATAAATCCGAAATTTTACCATCAGCTGGTATGGAAACACGCATGCGCACAAACCTGATGTACGTTTAATGACCGTACTCACGGCAGTGTTGCCAGGTCATACAATTTGTTTTCAGTAGACAAACTGTCAAAAAATCAGTAGAAATCAGTTGATAGTCTGGTTGCATATTATCAGCGGTAGAAACCTATTTATTAACTTATCAACGTTATGGTGTTTTTGTACCATCAAATTTTATTAATTTAAGCCGTTTTGACTGTTTAATTCAATTTCCAATTCATAACTAACGGCTTACGATAAAAATTATATACCAATAATTAATTATATAACTACAAAAAATGGGTTTGTACTGTCGATACCGGCGAAGCGAGCGGATGTGCGCTCGGTGCCGATCCACAATAAAATTCTTAAAGAAACATAACTATTATATACAGTGTAGTCGAGTAAAGTACGGTGCGAAACAGTGCTACTATTTGGTTACTATAGTATGTATACATAACGGTACAGGTGAAATCAGGGTACCTGTTCTCCGAGGGGTTAATAGAAACATTAAATAATTCCTCAAAAGGCAATCTCTCAACGGTGAACATAGGAGTGAGGTTTGTGCGGACACGAAGTAATAAAGTGACAGGGGACAGGTCAAGGAATCACCTATTTAAAGAAAAAAAACAAGTCTAACAAAGAGCGAAAGGGATCATCACCATCACCATCACCAGCCGACTCTGATAAGTATTATTGCATGACCTAATACGCAAATCTGTAAAAAAAAACTGGCAACAATTAACCATTGCCGAAAACAGCGTACGTGTGCGAAAAGGAATCAAGCAGGAACGTCGCAATATTATATTATTGTATTATATATATTGTATAATATAAGCGACTTGCAACTCAGCCACAAGGCAAAGCTTGAAGGAAGGTAAATAAACAAAGCGCCCACGCAATAACATAACGTAAATAAACCAGCTATTGAAGCATACGTTACCCGCCTGATACCGGGGCCGTTTCAGATTTTAATGCGATGCACCACAGGGCCGGCTATTTATTTTGTATTAAGCTATAGCTTTAAATTAAGAGAAAAAAAAGTATTTGTCACCATTAACATTGCCCGTATTCATTTTATTAAACATAACATTTATTTTACTTGAAATGTTAAAATAACTTTAAAATATGATTATGTTAAGAACATATTTTACTCTTTAAACAATTGTTTTGTTTTTAATTACTATCATTGCAAAATTGTATTAAAAAGTGTTAAAAATTCTTACACGGGCAATGTTAATGGTGATAGGTATCGTTAAAGGTTTATTGGGATATCTTTAAAACCTATGAAGGGCGCGCGGCGTGGGGCAATAAGTCTGTCAACAGCAAATGCGTAAGGCGGTCCCAATCGAGACCGAAAATAAACACTGGACTGACAGAGTAAACTAACATTGATCACATAATTCCAACACATTAAAAAAAAAGGGCCTAATAGCCAAACTCGAGATTCGTAAACATTAGACAACAGAATAATCGCGCTTGTGATTTGTTTGACTAGTGAATAAATGCAATGCTTTGGAATTTGATAAACAAAGACGGAACTCTACCACAAAACGTGCTTGGGACAAAAATTATTAAAAACAACTGACACACTTTACCAAGGGCAGGAACTATCTGACCAGGACACGGACAATGACAATAACGAACAAGACAAAGACCTCGATTAGGAGACTACACCCCTGCAGCGAAATAACAACTCTCCAACTCCAAATAGTAATCCCAAATG